TAATATTTTCTCATCCTTACTAGACTGCATGCACCTAAATCTATAAGTACAAAACAATCTAAGAAGTAAATCCAGTTAACTTTAATCCACAGTGAGGAGCAGATAAATGCTCCATTATGTGAAGAGGCAGAGCAGATTACTGTGACTCCAGAGAACCAGGAGAAGGAAGACGTGGAGCAGGAGAAAGACGACGATGAGGACGATGAGCAGAATCCTCCGTCTGAGGACTGGGCCATCTTCAGGGCAGACGGAGTGGAAATCCAGATTAACCTTAAAGAAAGAAACGAGAGTGAGGAAATTGAATTCAGTGCAGAAAATGGAGAGATAACTCAGGAGGAAGATGAAGAAGACGTTGAAAAGTTTTTTATTGGTGAGTCACAAACATTTTGTGTGTTTCTTTTTTATAAGGTGGTTTTTGCAATAAAAAACAAACAAACAACAAAATAAAAAAAACGTTAGTTAAATGGGTGCTGTAGCTTTTGCTATAATTCGGTTTTAGATAACTTGAACGTAGGAATGTTGAGACTTGAAATCAGCGTTTTTGTTTAAGGACCTTTGACCTTCGGACATCAGGTACATAAACAACCTGCTGACCAGCCAGGCCCACTTCTTTTGAACACATAATTAATCATCTCATGACATTTGTACAGTGTGTAATATCCCAACTGGACCATGTCAGTAGACTTCAGAGCAGCTGATCATCAGTAAAACGTGCGTGTTCACACATTCTTCTCTGTCTTTTCTACTTCAGACACAACTCCTCCTCCGGTGGCTCCGTTTAATCATCGCATGGTGTCGGCTAAGCCAAACCAGATCAGGAACTTTTATACCATCAACTGGCAGGAGGTCCTTGGCGGGTGAGTACTGCTTTTTTTTTTCTGAATACAAAACAAATGAAAAACAAAATGAATATTTCTCAATAAGAATAAAGAGTTAAATTCCCCATAAAAGCCCTTTTGTGTGAACCTCGTCCCCTCAACCCTTCTTGTCAAACTTTCCTCTCTTCAGTGATCCATAACTTCAGTGTCACGGTAGTTATTTTTACTTTCGGACTGACTGGCATGTGAAACTGTATCCCTGGAGCCAGCTGGTAGCTTATCACCGAGTGTTAATCCAAGTCTTCAAAGAAGAGATGTAGGGACGGCTCAGATGTATTGAAATAACAAATTAGACGCGGCACTTTCCAGAAGCATCCATGCTTTGAGGAAGATTTGTGATTTTGTGGCAAAATCAACTATTGCTCTTGCGGTCTTATTTGCATTTGTTTTGACACCACTGAAAGCGTTGCCGACTGTTTTTCTGCACCAGCAGGAAAGAAATTCTTGTCTGTTCCTCTCTTTTAGGGGTCGTTTTGGTCAGGTACACAAATGTGTTGAAAACTCTTCGGGTCTCACTTTGGCGGCAAAGATCATCAAAACGCGGAATCAGAAAGAAAAGGTACAGAACATGGAATTCATCGTCACACCGGTCTATTTAAATGAGCTAAGTCACACATGATACAGACAGCAGGGGCCCAGCTAGAATTTTTAGGACTTACTAGAACGCTGCAAGGCCGCTCTTGGAACAGAGGCAAAGGGAATATTTTTCACCAAGGTGACAAGTTACTGACCTGGAAGAGAAGATGCAAGCACTCAGCTAGCAGACAACAGCTGACATCTCTCATTTAGTCCGCGCGGGCTTGTCTGTTTGCGTCTCTTTGTGTGTTTTTGTCTGCTTCTGCATCTTTCTGCTCCTGTGTTTTTTTCTAGGACGTGGTGAAGAATGAAATCCAGGTCATGAATAATCTGGACCATGCCAACCTGATCCAGCTCTATGCAGCTTACGAGTCGAGAAATGACATCATCCTTGTACTTGAATAGTATGATCCAGTTTTAATGACGCTATTAATTCAGTCTGATTAGAATGTGCCTTTATAGAAATAATAAGTCATCACTTTAAAACCAAAATGTGATCTATTTGTCTTTGCTTTTAGTGTTGGAGGAGGAGAGCTGTTTGACAGGATTATTGATGAAAACTACACGCTGATGGAGCTGGATGCCGTGGTGTTCATGAGGCAGATCTGTGAGGGCCTGCAGTACATGCACAAAATGTCTGTACTGCATCTGGACTTAAAGGTGACAAGTACACCAAGTGCTGCTCTGAATATTGTTATAATTGAACTGTAGAAGCAAAATTGAGAAGAAAAAAACCCGCAACAGTTTCTCTAAACAAGATGAACACAAACACGCTCTCTGGGAAGAATATTAGAAAGAATAATTAGACAAGAAAATGACAATGACAGTCAAAGACAACAAAAATAGCAAATCTAACAAAGTGCAGGAAAGAAGACTACATTGTTTCTAAAACTAACCATTACTAAACAAAGTTTAACTACATGACTCAGGGATTTTTGGGCAAAGACAAAAGAGGAAGCTGCAAATTTACAAAAAAAAAAAAATAAATACATAAAAAATAAAATCAACCCTACTTTTTCTTTAATGAATGCACCCCTTTCTTACTTGTATGATGCTGTATAGAAAATAAAACAACAGTTGTACTACCTGCAGTGTATATATAATTTAAAAACAAATTAAACCAGTGAAAACAAAAACACCTCACTGCCAGTAAAACATGGTGGAGGTTTTATCATGCTGTGGGCTGTTCCTATAACTCTGGCCGTTGTCTCATTTAATTATAGGACTTTAATTGAAATACTTTTTCCATTGTCAGTAAATGGGGTCAAAGTGAAAGTTCACATAAATGAATGAAGGGAAAAAATGACTTTTTTTTTTTTTTTTTTTAACTCAGCAACAAGTACTGTGAAAACTTTTTGGAGAGCTGATATCTAATACTGTATAATTAAAAATAATTCAAAAATGTGTAACAAAAATCACCAACAGACAGGCCACATGTTAGAAGCTTCTAGATTATTTAGAGAAACACTCATTGTTATCAAAGAGTCATGCGACTGCATGTGATTTATATAAGCAGTAAATTCTGTCCAGGAGAAAATGTTTCCATTTGTTTACTTCATAATTATGTTTTTTTTTTTTTTTAAAGTCTGAAACTTTTGTTCAGTTTCCTTACAACTTTCAGATTATAGAAAAAAATAATGTTGCATTTAAATTTATTTCAGAAGTTACATATTCCAAATTGTTGCAAACAAGAGCTGGAACTGTACCTTTCTGAATGTGATTATTATTATTATTATTATTTTTTTAAATATTTATCATAATGTTATAGTATTTTTATTTATATTTTATTATATTTTAAAATTTATTTTATTATTGTAATTATTATTTATTATTTTATTATAAATTTATTTTGATGCTTTACTCAGCTTAACTGTGTGTAAAGTTAAATATTCTTGTTTTGCAGCCAGAAAACATTTTATGTGTGAGCAGAATCACAAATAAAATTAAGATCATTGACTTTGGGCTCGCCAGAATGTAAGTACAGTCATTTTATTTTGTTTTAATAATCTTGTATTTACTACCTTTATGTTGAAAATGTCAGACCGAGCCTGTCTTAATCTACTTGTTTAGATATAAACCGAGGGAGAAACTGAAGATAAATTTTGGAACTCCAGAGTTTCTTGCTCCAGAGGTTGTCAACTATGACTATGTGTCCTTTAACACTGATATGTGGAGTCTTGGAGTTATCACTTACATGCTGTAAGTAAAAACACACACATGCATGCAGACTTAATCATGCTGTTGCTAACGTTTTTGTTTTCTCTCCTGTTAGTCTGAG